CCCAGTGGTGCTGGGCAGAATTGCCCTAGTTGGCGAGATCACCTTAGAGGTACGAGGGAGGTTTCCTCAGCAGTGCAGCGCGGTGTAGATGGCTGTCACAGCTGCCTCGTGTGGTGTGCAGCACTCCCACAGAGGGCAGGCTGGAGTTCTCCCTGCTATTTGGGTTGATTTGCCCTTGGCGGAAGGTAGTGGCCTGGAAGCCAGTAGTGGCCTATGATAGGAAAGATAGGGAGAGACGAGAAGAAAGAGGGAAAAAGAAGAAAAAAGAAAGAAAGAGAAAAAACAAACATAAGCTTGTTGTGACCAACTGCAGTGGGAAAGATAGAAGGGTGAGAGAGCAAAGAAAGAAGAAATAGAGTGGTAAGTAAGTAGATAACTGAGACTTGATCATCTGTCCATGGGGCTGGAGGAGTTCCAACTTTTCCTCAAGGTAGCGGGGTGGTGTGCCCGCTTGATCCATCGATTATTTTTCTAATCTTGAGCCATCTTTGGATACCGGTTAAAAATCTCATATAATCATGGCCTATTATTATTTTGATATATTATTGGCCAAGAATTTATTGAGACAGGTTTGCATTTAAATTCATAAGGGATATTGGCTTATAGTTCGGTGTATCCTTGTGGGATCTTTGCCTGGTTTTGGTATCAGGGTTATTCTCATTTCATAAAATGTGTTTGTGAGTTCACCATTTTCTATACTTTGGAATAGCTTTTACAGAACTGGGGACAGGTCTTCTCTGAACGCTTGGTAGCATTTCCTTGGGAAGCCATCTGGTCCTAGAGTTTTCTTCGTTGGAAGTTTAATAGTGATCTACTTTATCTATTCATTTGTTGTAGGTCTGTTGAGGTTTTCTCCACCAATCTGTGTTAACATGAGGGAAAAATATAAATTACTTTAATTTTTATTTGTCTGGAAATACCCCTATTTCTCCCTCATCTTTTATGGACAATTTTGTTGGATAGGAGATTCTTGGTTGGCAGATTTTGTGTTTTTGTTGTTGTTGTTGTTGTTTTTTAGGATTTTCTATTTGTTACTTCATCATCTTCTTGCTTACCTGGTTTCTGTTGAGAAGTCCAAGTTTATTCTTATTCATTTTTTTCTTATATGTGATTCTTCTTATTTTTTTAAATTCGCTGTTCAAAGGATTCTCTCCTTCTCCAACACCTTCCATGCTGGGAAGCAGGGATGCCTGGGACCTTCAGTGCTGGAGTCTGAAATATGTGGCTCCTTGCTTGCTTGGGCATGGTTATACCTGGGGCCTTTCTCACTGAGTTACTGTGATAGCTGGGGCCGTCCTTGCTGTGTTTGGGGAATGCTGGGGCCTTCCTCTTGAGTTAGAGAAGAATGTAAAGTCTGATGAAATCATCACAGCTATGGTCAGATTACTTAGTAAAGATTAAGAAATTTTGAAAATGTAATTAAGGTCTTTAGTCAGTTAATCTCAAGATAGTCAAATAGGGAATTATCTTTAGCAGGCCTGACTTAATCATGAGAGCTCTTAAGAGATTGGGGGTGGTGGTGGGGGCGGCAGTCAGAGAGTTTATTTTGCTGAGTTTGAAGAATTAAGGTGCTGTGTTGTGAGAGGGTGACATGGTTAGTGCCATCACTAGTTGCCAAGAGCAACCCCTTTTGGCTAGCTATCAATAAAATGGAGACATTAGAATGGAAGGGCAATAAATTATTTAATGTGCTTCTTCTAGTCAAAGTCTCTAACTCCTAACACATAATTTTTCCCTGCATGGGTCTGGTAAGAAATAAGGGGGGAGATACTGATAGGATTCACTTATAAGTAATTGCAAAAAAGATTCCATGGCATGCCATCCTGCTGTGTGGAAAATGAGCTCTCTGAGAAGCAGGAAGAGGAATCTCATTACCGGCAAGACCCAGGAGTGAATCGTGTCTTCTGGATCCAAGATCTAGAAGACAGGCTATACCCTCAGAGGAGCAGCAGCAGAACCAGGATTCAGAGCATGGAATAGAGTAATGGACTTCCCAACCCACAGAACAAGTAAAAATGATGGACTTACTGCCCCATCGAAGTGGAACCGAGTGTCTTTGGGCTGAGGCTGATTGCAGTGGGTTGCCTCTGGGCACTTAATTTAGGAAGTTGGGTTTGATGACCCAACGAAGTTGAGTAGATCAGCGGTTCTCAACCTGTGGGTCACGACACCGTTGGGGGTCGAATGACCCTTTCACAGGGGTCTCCTAAGACCATCAGAAAACACCTTACGATTTATATTACAATTCATAACAATAGCAAAATTAGTTATGAAGTAGCAATGAAATAATTTAATGGTTGGAGGTCACCACAACATGAGGAACTGTACTATGGGGTGAAGGTTGAGAACCACTGGAGTCTTTGGGCTGAGTGGTATGTCCTTTGGGTATTTCCTAGCAGACTTGACGGAACTTTGTAACATGTCCTGCTAAACAAATCAACCTTGAGCATTTCTCACTGGCATTACAAGTTATTTACTTCCTTAAAAAAATGCTTTATGAATTTTGTCTGTGAGTTCTACGTAGTCATTGCAATGAATATTAGAACCTAGGGAAAAAGCAGAGCATGTTATACAGACAACATAAGATATGCAACTCCTCCTGAATAATATCAACAATAAAGGAGCTCAGAATAAGACTGCAACCCGAGAAGAGATTGCAACCACAGTCAACATATTGATTTTAGCCTGAGTCACTGAGCAGAGAATGCACTTTGCAGTTGTTACATTATATATTGATGTTGTTTTTAGCCAAATACATAGTAATATTTTTAGACAGTAATAATCATTTAAAAGACCTATTGCAGTACAGAAGGCGTTGTGGTTGTTGGGTGCCTTTGGGTTGGTTCTGACTTACAGTGACTCTAAATACAACAGAAGGAAGTCATTATGTCTGCATACAGAGTTGCAGGCACTGCATCATCTATCTTTTTGTTGGTCTTCCTCTTTTCTGCTGACCCTCCAGTTTACCAAGCCTGCTGTCCCCGAAACACTGGTCTCTCCTGATAATAGGTCCGAGGTACATGAGACAGAGTCTCCCCATCACTGATTCTAACAAGCATTCTGGCTGTACTTCATCAATGGAGAATAGTTTGTTCTTTTGTCAGTCCATGGTATTTTCAATGTCCTTCGTCAACACCATAATTCAAATGTATGAGTTCTTAGGTCTTCTTTACTCATTGCCCAATTCTCACATACATTTGAGGTAACTAAAAGTATCTTGAGTTAGGCACAGGTTAGTTCTCAAAGTGACATCCTTGCTCTTCAACTCTATTGTTATTTTTACCCTTCAACTCTTTAAAAGAGGTCTTGTGCAGCAGATTTACCCAATGCAATGCATTGTTTAATTTCTGCACTATTGTTTCCATGAACATGGACTCAGGAGTGAATCTAAATAAAATGTCATCCTTGATAACTCCAGATTTTGCTCTGCTGATCATGCTGTTGACCCAGTTACGAGGATTTTAATTTTCTTTACACTGAGTCATAACCCCTTCTGAAAGACACAGTCCTTGATTTCCTATGTCATCTGAAAATCATAGGTTAATTAAGCCTGCCTCTAATTCTTATGAAGTGTTTTTCTTCATAGCGCCTAGATTCTTAGTTTACTTGCTCAGAATACACATGGCATAAGTATGGTGAAAAGATACAACCATGATACACATCTTTTCTGATCTTAAATTACTCAGTATTTCCTTGTTCTGCTTGAAAAAAAAAGTGCTTCTTAGTCCATGTACAGGTTTTCATGAAAACAATGAAGTAGTCTGGAATACCCATTCTTCCCTATAGTCACACAATTGAATGCCTTTGCATAGTCAATAAAAGACAAGTACATCTTTCTGGTATTCTCTTCTTTGAGCAAGATCTATCTTATGTCAGCAGTGGCATCCCTTAGTCCATGTACTCTTTTGAATCAGGCTTGAATTTCTAGCAGCTCCCTCTCAATATATTGCTCCAATCATCACTGAATGATTGAATTATCTTCAGCAAAACTTTACTTGCATGTGAGATAAATGATATTATTCAATAATTTCTGTATTCTGTTGGATCACCTTTCTTTGGAAGTTGGTAAAATTCTTCAGTTTCTTCATCACTATTTTGAGTGGTTGGTGCATAAATTTGAAAGATA